TACTTTTAACCTAATTCATCTGGTCCCTACTTTCAGTGGTTGATAGTGCAATTTGTACACTTGGAAATAAGAGTAAGACAACTCTGTGACTTTTAAAGAAGTTGATTTTCGTAAATTATACAATGCCAACCCCCCCCCCCCCCCCAAATATTGACAAAACTTTTTACTTTGTGATTTGCATGTACCATGCAGGGTTTTATGTCAAAATTCAAGTTGATTTCCTATCACCAGCCTTTTCACTTGAATAAGGCAAATTTATGCCAAAACTTGACATTTTCTTAACTTATTTAAATGAAAATAACAGTTTGTAGTATTTATACACCTAATCTTGCAAATATTACGAAGAAGAGTAATAAGGCTTGATTTTCTTTTTGCAGTGTGGTAAATGTGGTAAATAACCCTCGGGAAATGTCAAAGATTGGTGCAGTCATTATTGAGCTGGAGGTGTAAACTGTAATCAGTATTTGGCAGAAAAGTTTCACAGGACAATTTTGAACCAAAGTTTACTTTTAAGATTAGCAATTCTAAATATTGTACAATGTCAACACTTCTCCAAATTAAATTAGTATAAAAAAAAAGGAAAAAATCCCAAAACCTAAACTCTCATTCATTGATTAAATCTGCAGCTTAGTGTATAATTACCTCTCAAATTATGATCACATTTGGTCCATCTTTTTCAACAGCGAGTTTTGTTGAGAATTGTTTGACATATTTCATTTTGGAAAATATGGAAAATGTATACTCAAGAAAACTTGTTGAAAATATTTGTGGTGGCATAAGTGGTGTGCCATATTGAAGTAAAAGCCGTAAAAGTAAAATTTAAAAATTGTTATATATGCATATATGCATTTGAAGAGTATATTTCCAAAACGTGATGGAATGCCATTTTGTTACCTTTTAGAATCCTGCCCTCTCCTGGATGCCCAAAGTCAGTTTTGACATCTGTTTTTATTCTTAACTTAGTTTCATAAAGTGCAGAACTTTTTCGAATGGATATATCACATTTTGGAAACAAACTCTTCATTTGTCATCTCAGTAAATAAGAAACCATATTTGTGGGTAGTCTAGATCCATGATACTAGTCCAACTGTAATCGGCACACCTCGAAAAAGCCCTTCTGGTTGCTCCGCCATTTAAGTTGAAACCAGAGTCTACTCTGCTGATAAGGAAATGTTGTTACAAAAAGGAAAAAACCTGCTGTTGGGGAGAACTGTAATACAGCAACTTGAACATTCCCATTGAAGGATACCAGAGATCACAGGTGATTGGCAAGCCACTGTTTAGAGAGAATCTTCTGTCTTGATTGTAATACGGCAACTTTCCAGTGTGTTGGCTGATGAAGGCTAGACTGGTTAGCATGGAGGACTTAAGTTCTTGCTGCAGTGGACATAGTTTTTAGCTCAAAATGCTGATCCTCAATGATGAGGATTGCGAGGGTGCCAACACTGGAGCAAAATCAATCGACAACAATATTAATTTATTGTTTTTCTTCATCTACAATATGGGCCTGCCGTAACACTCGGGAAGTGGAATCATGCAACATACATGTATCATCACAAATACGTCTTGAGCTGCACTCCACCTTTGACAGTTCAGTGATGTCTACCACCATGTAGCCAGTCTAGACCTGTGACAGTTCATCATAGTCACATTACTTCACCCACGAGACCTGTGAAAGTTTAATAACCAAGGTGACATCGCTTCACATAGTGCAGTCTAGACGTGTGACAGTTCATTGTGGTCACATCGCTTTACCCAGATGCTGTTGTAGATCAGTGACAGGTCATCAAGGTGACATTTCTCCAACCCGTAGCAAGTCTAGACATGTGACAGTTCATCATGGGCACATTGCTTCATCTACAAGCCAGTCTAGACCTGTGACAGTTCATCATGGTGACATCTCTTCACCCCGTAGCAAGTCTAGACATTGACAGTTCATCATGGGCACATTGCTACATCTACAAGCCAGTCTAGACCTGTGACAGTTCATCATGGTGACATCTCTTCACCCAGTAGCCAGTCTAGACCTGTAACAGTTCATCATGGTGACATCTCTTGACCCAGTAGCCAGTCTAGACCTGTGACAGTTCATCATGGTGACATCTCTCCACCCAGTTGCCAGTCTAGACCTGTGACAGTTCATCATGGTGACATCTCTCCACCCAGTAGCCAGTCTAGACCTGTGACAGTTCATCATGGTGACATCTCTTCACCCAGTAGCCTGTCTAGACCTGTAACAGTTCATCATGGTGACATCTCTTCACCCAGTAGCCAGTCTAGACCTGTGACAGTTCATCATGGTGACATCTCTTCACCCAGTAGCCTGTCTAAACCAGTGACAGTTCATCATGGTGACATCTCTTCGCCCACTAGCCATGTGACAGTTCATCATGGTGACATCTCTTCACCAGTAGCCAGTCTAAACCAGTGACAGTTCATCATGGTGACATCTCTCCACCCAGTAGCCAGTCTAGACCTGTGACAGTTCATCATGGTATCTCTTCACCCAGTAGCCAGTCTAAACCAGTGACAGTTCATCATGGTGACATCTCTTCGCCCAGTAGCCATGTGACAGTTCATCAAGGTGACATCTCTTCACCAGTAGCCAGTCTAAACCAGTGACAGTTCATCATGGTGACATCTCTTCACCCAGTAGCCAGTCTAGACCTGTGACAGTTCATCATGGTGACATCTCTCCACCCAGTAGCCAGTCTAGACCTGTGACAGTTCATCATGGTGACATCTCTTCACCCAGTAGCCTGTCTAAACCAGTGACAGTTCATCATGGTGACATCTCTTCGCCCACTAGCCATGTGACAGTTCATCATGGTGACATCTCTTCACCAGTAGCCAGTCTAAACCAGTGACAGTTCATCATGGTGACATCTCTTCGCCCAGTAGCCAGTCTAAACCAGTGACAGTTCATCATGGTGACATCTCTTCACCAGTAGCCAGTCTAAACCAGTGACAGTTCATCATGGTGACATCTCTTCACCCAGTAGCCAGTCTAAACCAGTGACAGTTCATCATGGTGACATCTCTTCGCCCAGTAGCCATGTGACAGTTCATCATGGTGACATCTCTTCACCAGTAGCCAGTCTAAACCAGTGACAGTTCATCATGGTGACATCTCTTCACCCAGTAGCCAGTCTAGACCTGTGACAGTTCATCATGGTGACATATCTCCACCTGGAAGCCCAGAAGGCACATCGCTTCACCCGCAAGCCAGTCAAGACATGTGACAGTTCACCAAGATGACATAGCTTCACACAGTAACCAGTCTAGACCAGTGACAGTTCATCAAGGTGACATCTCTCCACCAGTAGCAAATGGAGACTTGGTACATTCATCTTCTCTCCATCCAGTAACAGCTATACATGTAGGGCATTAGATTATGGACTTGCTTTTATTGGGACTTTGGGGATCGGATTAACTAAGAAAATATGGTTTCTTATTTCATGGCTTACAAAGCTGGCTTTGAATAGAATTGTACTTGCTGTAGATGTCCAGAATATTATGCATTCATGTCATTCAAAGTGAAAGGAAGTAAAGGACTGTTATTTTGTGACAGTAAATACATTTATTTTTTTATTGTATTTTTTTTTTTAATTTTACAATTTACTTAAGCCTTAGGTCAGCTGTAGTAAATATGTCAGCCATAGTTAATGTGGTACTGTACATGTAGTAGAACTTAACAAGTATAATGGTTGGACAATAGAGAGTAGAGTGTGCTCGATCCTTGGAATGGCCTAACATCAGGGTGTCAGTGGGATAAACTATCTGGCTGGCGGTGACAGCGAATCTCTACCTTTGGGGGAAAACTGTTTTACTGTCCTCCAAAAACTTAAAACAAAAAAAACCCCAAATTAACAAAATAAAATATTTAGTTATCATAGCGATATTGGTAGTGGATTGCCTAATATGCTTGATCCTTGGAATGGCCCAACATCAGGGTGTCAGTTGGGTTTATAAACCTGGCTGGCGGTGACAGCGTATCCTTCACCCATGGATTGAGTGTAATTATTAGAGAAAAATGAACAAAATCAATTAATTAATCTAAAATAATGTTCTTCATTTATTTAGCTGTAATATAATACATTTTACACGATTTAGTAGTGATTTCTCCTCTTAGTCGGTACATGAGAAAAGTGTTTCATGAGTATTATGAATTGACATGTGCTTCACGGTTGCTTAAGTATGAACCAACCTACTGCGGAGACAAATTTTAGAAATATAATATTCCATTATAAGGTCTATTTTTCTGTTGTTTCCCCTGTCATTTCGAATAAAAAAGAAAAGTGCATTTAGAATGGTAGGTAAAGAGCATGGCAAGATATTGTACGAGTAGAAATGTTCCTGTCATTGCAATTGTAGACTTGTTTTTCCTGTTGAACATGGTTTTCAGAATTGTTACCGATGTCGTAATCAAGTTGATGACAACTTGGCAATGCAGAATTGATGATTTGTTCAAAGCATTTATCTGAGTCTTTTTTGCAAAGGATTTCAACCCAGTGCAACTGTTTTCATTCAATGACTATGACCCAAAAAAGGCACATCAAATAATCCAAACTGGAATAATTTCTTTAGGTATGTTTTAAACAAACATTAATTTTATAATGGCGTCACTAGTGACAAAAAAATATCTGGTTTGCGACTACTTTCCAGTCAAAATGTGACTTTGATGATAGAGTTGATAGCATAATACAAGCACATTGCAGTTACTTGCACACTTTCTCTCTCCAACATTCGTCCTTGATGCAATGTTATCAGAACACTCTCTGGCTTGAGATTAGTTTTTAAAAGTTTCAAATATTTACCAATATTAACCCAACTGGATCAGTAGGCAATTAAATCACATTACATTATTTACAACAGGTCTTCAGCCAACTTTGTTCTATTATTCTATAAAGTCAAAGTATTTAAGGTGTATTTTCGTCACAGAAGATCCCTTGAAATTAAGTGACTAAACTACAAAAAAAAGCAAACTAAATCAACTGCTGTTGTTTTGGAAATCACTTTTTTTTTATTGGTAATTCACGTTACACAAAATGGACATGGAAACAAAATTAAGTGCCTTGCACTTGAAAGTTTCCTCATACTTTTAACTGTTTGAAAAATCTTTTCAGTGTTCTTACATCATTAGGGTGTAAGTCATAGGCTGCCATAACAATTATTTAAAAAAAAATCAATCATAAAATCTCTAGGGAGATATATTTTGGTAACTTGTGTTACAGTTTGTCCACCTATCTTTGGTACAGGATAAAACATAACAAATTATAATCTCACAAAAAAAAACTCTTGCCTTGGCATAAAATGTTCATCTTCCTCTGAGCCTGAAAACCAAAGACTCATGATAACACTTGTATTTTGCGGGAGAAAACAATGAGCCAAAATGATAATTTTAGCCTCCCCAAAATAGGGTGGGTTTTTTTGGTCCACTTTCTCATGGAATCGCACCGATGCATTGTGGAGTTTTTATTTGACAAAATTGGCTTACTTTCCGCAGCGTACATATTTATCTTTAAGTGGTGAGGTGCTTTAGACAAGGCAAAGTACAGCTAGATTTTTACACGCAGGTTTTTTGTGTGGGTACTAGCAGGGTGGCCACTACTGTAGCTCTTGACTTGTAAGCATTAAATACATGTACATTGTACACTGAAACTCCAATTTTGTTGATAAAGTGACTATAACTAATTTTAAAGTATTTCCTTATTTGAATCCCTCATTAATTAATGATCTGAGATGCATTTTTGTGGCCACCCTGGTTTTTTATATTATGAGAGACATCCTCTAAATCCCTGATTTTTAATGGACCACTTCACCAAACTAATGCATGTTATTTCAGTGTTTGTTTCCTCCCAACATGTGCTGAGATTGTACAACTTCTGCACGAGACGCTGAAGCCAGGAAGCTATACAGACGCTACTCTCGATGTCTGGATCTGATGCCAACCTGTCGGACTCTCCTCATGAAGATTGGATGGAGTCGTCTTAGGGAAAGGGTAAATCCATGGCAGAAACACACTATTGGCTTGAATTAATGCCATCTCAAACCTGGAAATATTGGTTGATAAAGCATTCTGAAGTACCGATAAGTTGGAAAGTCTTCGTAGTTTGAAAGGAAGAAATCTTAGAATTGGTATTGCAGGATTCTGCAAGGTGCTTCATCTGGCATCAACAATCTCAAACAGGTGAAACTCTTTGCCATGGATTTGCCCTGTGAACTCAAATATTAAATTCTAGAACCAGGCACATGTCAGATTTAGAAAAGCCATTAAATTACATTTCATATTAAATAAAAACAAAGGTTTCATCTCAAATGTGCTCAAGATTTGTAGCACTTATGAAAGGCTTTTGCCAAAACCACATGTGAACTCAAAGTTTTATAAAACAAATTCACAATTTGAACTTAGTCGTTCAGAAAAAGTTATGTTATTAAAAATGGTTTCAAGCTGAATGCAAAGTCAATTCTTAGCACGATTTTGAGTTGAAACAAAATAATTCAGTCTTTGTGGTTTGTTGTGAAACCTTCTTAGGTTGGAAATTCAAATAGCCAGTCGATAAAATGGCCTTCGAATCCGATAATAAATTGGTCACAAATGATTTGTTGGTTCTTTAATTTTAGATTCCAGTTTCACCAAGTTCTTTGTTTTGGCTAATGTTGTTGACATGTGCCTGGTTTATTTGGTTCTAGAGACAAATAACTACAGTACTTAGCACATCATAGGAATGATTCAGTCAGTTGTATTCTATATGATGGAAAATAGCTGAAATTAGCCAGTATCCTTGAAGTTGTGTGTAATATGCAGTAATTTCCATTACTGCTTAAAAAAAAACGAACTATGTGAATGTGATTACATGTGTAATCACAGAATTTATAATATCAGGTTTTTTAAATAGTTCTCTGCCCATGCTGTTTTAGAGTTTCAGTCTAAAAATAGAACTTGTTTGTAAATTGCTATATTTCTAGCAGTACAGCTATTCAACTTTAAATGGGACAAGAAAAAAACATACCCAAAGTTTAGTTTGGCTTTTTTACTTTACAAATTTCCAATTGTTCGCAGCCCGACAGACGGACATCATTCAGGGGTATCTTTCTGTTACGGATAAAGTTACACCCAAAATTAAAGCATATTTTCAGAAGTTTCAAATGTCTGAAATTGAAAAAGGTACATTTTCTGTTTAAATAAAACAAACACATTGAAATTGAATTCACTGAAAACAAATTAGCTGTTGAAGAGCATGGGTAGAGCAACTTTAAATTGGCAAATTGTTAAATATGACTAATATAGTCCCAAGTAATTCAAATTGTTTTATTTGTTACAAAGTGAGTACATCCTGATCCAAATATTTAGAAAGTGTGGCGATACTGGCTGATAAATTACAGAGAATCATTCCTATGATGTGCTTTATATGTATTTTGTTTATTTTTGAATGAATAAAACAAATGTTTGTTGTCTTTTTGTGGAGTGTATTTATTTTAGAAGTATGTGTCTTAATTAGCCGACTTTTTGCAGCAAAGTTTAATGTGATTAACAGGCACAGTTCCCAAAACAAACACAATCTCCAAATTCATCAAAGTCGATGTTATAAATTATATCAAAACTGTTTAATTTATTGCCAATACACATGTATTTGTGGGAAAAGTACTGCATTTTAGGTACGCAGGGATGAAGTTCTGCCACTATTGGAACATGTGCCTGTTTTAAGTGTTAAACTTTGCTGCATTATCTGTTCTAACACTAATTTCAACTTGAAGGCTACAACAATGAGGGCGCTCTTATATAAGAAACTAACAGTTATACATTTTTTAAGATTGAGGGCGCTCTTTAGTAAATAAACCTAAAATCCCTTTAGTTTAATAAGATAGAGGGCGCTCTTTTGTAAATTAAACCAAAAAATTGTTTAAATTTGTGACACTGAGGGCGCTGTTTTTATGAAATAAACCAGAAGCCATAGACTTGCCATATTATATTGTCATTTGAACTTTATTTTATACACTTGTCAATTTTTATTTTTAAAAAAATTTGACCTTTGACCTGACCCTTCAACTTTGACATAACCTTTGACCTGACCCTTCAACTTTGACATAACCTTTGACCTGACCCTTGAACTTTGACCTGACCTTTGAACTTTGACCTTTTGCCTGGCCAAAAAAAAAGCCCAGCCACACACAGGCCCCCCTGGTGCGCACACACATGTCCCCGCCCACAGACGCCAACAAGCAGCAGTCACCCAACTACCCACACCAACTTGTGACCAACTATTGATGAGTGTACACAGCGCCCTCTAGATCTTGCAAGTTGACCAATCATGGATAACCCAAGTAGAGAGCAACATAATAAGGATCCTATTAAACTCTGACAATCAGTTCAGTTTTCTACAAGGCAGATGATACTTTGGGTTTTTGGTTACGAGCGTTGCCACGGTAACCCACCATCTACTGTCAAGAATAACAATTTAAGAGACTCTTCGCACCTTTCCTTAATTACCCCTTGACATTTTCAGATGTTCAAAGTTGCATCATGACTTTTGATCCAATCAAATAAAATAATTAAACAGTTTTGTTTTGCAAGTTTTCATGGATATTTTACAGTGTCGAATGATATTAGGTCAATCATATCGATCCTATTTACAGGGAAAATCTCCAGAGTGTAACTCTTATAAATCTTTATGCTGTTCTCAGTATCTACAAGTTGTATATAAAGTACAGTTATCTTAAACTGTTTTTGAGAACACTAAATTGTCAGTTCAATGACATTTAAAATGCTGGTTCTTTCTTGTGTCTCTAATTTGTCGTTATTGCTTGATTTGCAACAGGACAGAATAGCAAACTGGCAATCAATAAAATTTGTGTGATTTTCTTTAACTGTACAAGTTTTCGATCTCGAAAACTTCTTCAAATGAGGTAACGTGAATAAATTGCTTGAAGAAATTGAGGGTTTGGTAGCAGACATTGCTTAATTAAATAGCGTAAATATAAAACCTTTTTCAACATCATATTGCAAGTAACACAGAGTACAAACTGTACGGTGTTGTCTTAGTGCGATTGTTTCACACGATTATATTTCATCAAATTGTGCACAATTGCACATTTTGTTGGCATCAAAAGAACCCTTGTCACTTTTTTTGAACGTCAAAAGACTAACTTTGCAGTACTTTTTCCTTGCATTGTGCCATCATCTTTTCAATTTGTTTTCCTTTTCTGATTAGGGAAAACACAAGAACATTTATTTTCGAAAAATCTCATCACTTCTCATGATGCTATTTTTGTCCATGTACATGTATAAATCAATTTAGTTTTTATGAACAAGCGTTTACGTATATTTTTCAAGTAATTGTCTTCCAGAAAAGTCCACCTTTTTCTTATCCAAAAGTAGTTTAACACTTCTCTGCACTTAAACATAGTCAACTTAGACTGTAATAAAGTTAATCATTTTCGGTAGTATTTTGCCGATATGATTTTTTGACCTGGATGTGCCCTTCGAAGAACCGTACTGCTCAGTGACTCGGTGGATGATGCGGTAGCAATCTGCCCGTCAGCAATTCATAGAAACTGTGACATCCAATATGACAAGGGGGAAGCCTGTCCCGTCGCCCATGCTAAGTTTAATTGAAGTTTTCATTAATTCATGCACTGTACAATTCATGGTTACATGTATACATCCTCATAGTTACTCATTAAACCCAATGATTCTCATGGCATAACTGCAGCCGATTTCACAAACTTTTAAGCAATGTCGTAAGTCCACTTGCGCCACACTTAAATGCCCAACTTGCACAGGATATTACACTGCGCAACATTTCAGTTATTACAATTTAACAAAAGTTTCCTAGTGCATTTAAATCAGCGACTTGAACAACAAATTATGGCGTAGCTTGCGCATTCGTTTTAGGTGATTTAAGTTGTGTGACGTAGGCAACTGAAAATGATTTACTGTACCTACAAATTGTGATTATCCAGCAAGTTATTGCACTCGCAGCTTTGGTTTGGAAGCTACTGAATTACTGCTTTACTTGCAACAGTTTTTCAAGGAGTTGCCACACAATTCCAAAGTTCGGACAAACCGCCATGGGCCATATTTTCAAAATGGCAGGCGGAGGTGATTCAATGACTTTTTCAAATCTTGCACAAACAGCCATCATAAATTCTGTTATCATCCTATTTGGAAACGTTGCGCAGCTACGCCAAGTTTTGTGAAATTGATCACAAGGTTATTGTGCATCTGCGCAAACAAATTTGTTGCTTAAATCCTACACGTGGCGTAAGTTACACACTGTTTTGTGAAATCGGCTGCAGTGGAGTAGGCGTGTCTGCATAAGGCAGGTAATGTACATGCTCACATGCAAACCTAGGCAGGTCCTGGGAAAATCTACAATTAAAATTCTGCATTTACAGCACAGTACATGTACATGTATGTTAAGGAGAATACACGAGAAAGTGTGGATTCGTAATTTAAGAATTCACGAGGCGCGAAGCGCCGAGTGAATTCATAAATTAAGAATCCACACTTGCGAGTGTATTCTTCGACTTAAACCATTGCGTCAACAGAAGTATAACAAAGAATGCTGCAACCTGACGCCACTTTTTTCTTCATATATCATCTCAATGAAGGCCATTTGTTGCAAAATTGATAATAAGACATGAATCTGGGACTGATAAATGTTTCCAAAATTTTTTATGAAATACTTGAAATGACTCTCCATAAACGTTGTACACAAGTGCGGAAGTGGCGTCAGGTTGCAACATTGTTTCCTGGTGTGTTTAGCATGTGTATCGCCACATACGTCAAAATGGATAGTTGAGACGACGATTTCTTTCTGACTAAAGTAGATTTTGCAGTGACGATGGAGAATCTGACAGTGAAGATGCATTGGTAATTTTCGGAAAGCAAATTTTCACGCAGACGGTCCTATTCATGCTCATTATGGAGAACAATTGTCTGACGTTTTCAAAGTGTGGATTCGTAATTCCGAATCCACACTTTACTAAAGATTCTTCGTTCCGAATCCACACTTTGTGACCAGTGTAAGAGATTCGTAGATCCGAATCCACACTTTTAACAATAGTGTGACGTCACAGCAATGGTTTAACCTTGAAAAGGTCTCAAATTGATGTCCATACCTTACCATTATTTTTTAGATTTCTTATTTAAAAACATTTTCACAAGTAAAATGTTAATGTGTTTTCAATGGACCATATGAAAGCCCTAAATCAACATCCAAAAATTCAAGATGCAGATGTTTCAAAGTTGCATGAAATGTGACAATTAAAAAAAAAAAAAAGCGAGGAAAAGAACAATTTTCAAAAGGACACATCTCTTTCTGAAATTGATTTTTATGTAGAATGTTTGGCAATTTTATCAAATTTTCCCAGGGCCTGCCTAATAAAGATGACCTTTGATCTTAACCACTTAACGGTGGTTTGAACATCACTGGACCATAAAAAGAATATTCTTCCTTTGATTTAAGAAAACTAGTTAGCTTATGCATCTGATGAGTTTCAAGCTCTATTCAAACTGGGCGTTAGTATAAAGGCAACATAAGCTCACATTAATCTAATGGGCCATACTGTCCTAAAAACTCACTGAGTAAACGAACATGACTGACAACTAAATGATTCTCTAAAAAAAAAGTTACTGTAAAAGGACTATTCTAAAAGGACGGCCTGTTTACTTCCAATTTATGAGTTAATGTGGTTATTTAAAGTCATTGATAAAGTAAACCCTTGATTTATTTTTCGTTGTGAATACTTAACCAATGCCAGCAGAGGACAGCCGATACATTTAGGTGACTGATATAAATGTAGGATGCTAGGAACTCAGCTGAATGCTGATGTAGTGAATTGCAGAGATCGACTGATTGTCGCTGGATTAGCCACTGTCACTATCAGCAGCCCTAGTACAAATGTAGTTCCACCCTATGCATGAAAACTATGAGTAAACGAGTCTATGTGTACATTTACATAATTTTCTAATTATGAAAAAAAAAGCTTTGCATACCCTGAAAGCAGGTATATTAGCTCAAATTGCGATTGCTAGAGATCTGATGCATCAACTCAAGTTGAATCGCATTGAAAAATTCTGTCAGACAAAACCTAATTGGATACTCAACAAAAACTAAGTGCATTCCTCCTACTTGAAAACCTATGTTTTCTGACTTATGTTAACTTTTTATTGTTCAGCACCAATCTAAAACCTAGACTTGAACTCAACACTTTTATTTCCCTTTTTAAAAATTAATTTAAAAATATTACAAGTAAAAGCCTCATCAAGATACTGATCACAAAATTTGACTCACAGCAAAGGGAAAAACATGAGGTAACTCTTTCAATAAGGAAGCTATGTTTCCTCCTACAGGTTTAGATTTTGCCAACAGCTTGTTACCTCTCGACAATGCTTCTGCACGTATCTGACGGAACAGTTGCATGTTGGTGATGAGCTATAATAGCAAGATACTGGCTAAATTTAATGTAGGTCAATGATGACATCTAAAACTACAATTCCTGAAACTGACTTTGGAACTAAAATGATTTGGAACGAAAATGACCGTGACCATACCTCAAATATGTGCCTTTAACTTTGGTTAAAAATGATTAAGTTGACTTTACAGTGTCACAAATACTTGCTTTATGGCAAGATTATTAACAATTAAACCAAGCATGGAGCGTGATGGTCTTCAGTCTATGGCAATACTGATTGTAATGTCCTTGAGTTCTTCACCTTCATTTGCGTTATCATGCATAGCCATTTGGTGGAGTTTCATTGCATTATTATAATAGAAGTGAGAATTGTTTGCGCACGAAATATTAAGAACAATTCATTTATTCTCTGCTGAAGTCTTTCGGCCAAAAGAAACCATAACAGTTGTGTAAAATGGATTGCTACCGGGTAGCTCTGTCCAAAATGTTATACATGCATGAGGGTTTTTATTTTCTATATGCACTGAAATAGTACATTTGATTGGCAAAAATAAAGTCATTTCTAGTTCACAGTTGAAACAAGATGAAGGTGAAAAACGTCAAGGACACTACAAGATTTTCATATTTATTCTCAATAGATGACTTGATCAAGGCATTGATAAATTTGTTTTTTTTTTAATGCAGACAGAAAGTGGATTTCAGCCGATATGTTTCCATCACATTTGTAAGCACTGATATTTCACATACGGTTGGCAAATCAGATTGCAAAACACATCATGGATCACTTTTAGGATCGAACATACTGCTTATTGGTTATGCTCATTTGCCAACTCTCTGAAGTTGTAGTTTGAAATAAATATGAAGCTGTTGGACTGTTTAATCAAAGCAGTGAATGATGTGAAGGGCAACGGCCATCTTACAACTCCATGAATGAGGAGTACCGGGTAGAATTAAACAGCAATGCACACACAGAGTGTATTGTCAGTAAGATGCCATGATATCACGCCCAATATTAATGAAGGAAGCAACTTTGCTTCTCATGTAGGTCGCAGATAGGATACTGGCCTTGCAGATTTACAGTCCATTGACTTTTTTCTACAGCCTTGAGCATCAAACTTTAATCTCCAAACTTCAGAATTTACCAGAAAATTTGATGGAAGAAGCTTACTCTGTTTCACTCCACAAATGTTAACAGCCCTGTGGGATTCATAAATTTAACCAGATAACTTGGAGGGATGGTATGCTTCCAAAATTCAAAAATACAATGTAGTAGTATTTTCAAGCAGTGAGCCTGGAGTAAAATGCCTAAAAATTTAGATCAATGCCTTGATAAAGTTTGCTGAAAGCTGTTTATTGATGATTTTTAAAAAAAAATCAACATATCTTCCACCAATTATAAAAAAGAGTGGCATACATGTAGCTAGGTTTTGGGGGAGGGGGTCTCAAATAGAACAGATCATGATCTCCACATTTTGTTCAAGTATTGGAGTTTCAGTATGTCTGTTATCTCCATGGTTACGCAATAATAGAGCTGCCAAGAACATATATGATTGAATACCTGGAATGCACATGTACGATGTGTACCGGTACCACACGTTTTCAGGCAATTTATCCCTTTTTATGTCTGACTGAGGGGTTCATTGAGTACAAGACTCAAAACGTATAGTTCATGGCTGAAGCACTGACAATTGGAATGTACATGTACATGTATAATGCAACATCAGTTTGAAACAATTCTAAAATTGCATCTTTCTTTAAATTTTAGTTGGTCATCTTTCCAGAATAACAAAAAAACTGTGAGACTTTTGGTCGTCTCAGATTAACTTGCCCTTTGATGCAAGCAATTTGCCCAGTTCTGCATAATGCATTGAGTACAATCAAATACTTCAAGTTTTATTTCATCAGATCTTAATAATGGAGTGAACCAGTATCTTCTGATCACTATGCTAGACTATAAGCTCATTCGGAATAAAACGAATAGAAGGAAAGGCTGATTGAAATGTAGCAGCAACTTTGAACTTTTAATTTGATGTGGTGGAGGGAGGATTCAAACAAGCACTAAATACAGCAATTGCCATTTCATGCCCCCTCCCCCTGTTAGCTATGCCACTGTGTATTGCCATAGACTGAAGACCATCTGTACATTACTGCCTTGTTTAATGCAGACTACACCATACTCCTAGCCATGAGATACCCATTTGGGTTTAACAAGCAACACATGAGGATGTACCAGTGCATGAATTAATTCTACAAACTTCAATTAAACTCACCATGGAAGTTGTTGACAGGACTGGCTCCCCGTGTCTGATGTCACAGTTTCTGTTTAGGATACTGAGAGGCAGATTGGTACCCAATCTCCCAGGCCATTCACTCCAATTGATTGAGGGGCACACACATTCATTCCAAATTGTCACCAGAAAATATTCTACATGTGGTTTAGCCTCCCCGTTTTACAAGGAGCTTGTGAGAGGAAACTTTTTTTGGTCACTTTAAGATTGGAACACAGCAAGTGAACTTGTGGTTTTAAATCCTATTTGGTATATTTCCCAACCGGTATCGGTGAGTAAGGATAGACCATTTTACAATCACAATTTACATGTACACATATAATCAAGAGTGTACTAAATGTTCACAATAGCTGTCGATTGTCACAACCATTTTAAGTAATTCGCAGCATCTTTGGGGAGGGGTCGATTTTTACCCCTGATTTCTGAACTCACTGAATTACAATTTTCTGCAGCTTCTCTGTGTTTCCTTTCCACCACTTCTTTTTCTTTACAATTCGGATTGTGAATGAGTGTTTGCCCCTCTATGATATGAGTGAATGGCCTGGATACATCATCCACCCAGCAATCTAATAGCATGGTTCTCCCTCTCTGCACACCAGGCACTTCTTTAGTGCAGTTTCAAGACATTGGTTCTATTAAGTGGAACTCTGGTTTTCCATGCTTGCCTTTCTTTATGATTTATTAGCTACATAGCAAAAAAATGATGATGGCACAGGCACCAGGCCCATCTGGCCTTTCTTATTTTTTAAGATTCTAGAAAAGTATTTTTTGGGGGAAAAAAAATTCCCGAATGTTAACATTCTTCAACAGCAAATTTTGTTTGCCACTATTCTATTTTGAGACTAAAACATTTTCAGTTTTGAATTGTTTTCCGAAATTGAAACATTTTTTAATTTGAAAGTCAGATGTAGAGATTTTTCTTGCAATCTCAAAATAAGGGTTCTTTTAGTTTTAAATCTCTCAAATGTTATTGGCAGTACACAGACTGCAACTGCAAGACTTGACTTGGTTTTGGGATTATGTTTTCAAGAATGCTACCAAACTCAATGATTGCCAAACTTTGCAAGTGCTAAATCAAATTTTTAAACAGAAAACCTACATTTTTCTTGAATTCAGCCTCAATTTTGATGCTTCAAATTGAGAATATATTTATTTCACCACCTCTGGTGGTTTGATTTTTGAGTTAAAACTTGTTAGAGAACCAGCAATGAATTGTGTAAATAACAACAGAACAGCATTGATTTAAGAAATACTCTGGAGATTTTCACAATAAATAGGACAGACACAATTACCCCAGCATCATACAACACTGCAAAATATCCAAGAACCTACAAAATTGACCATTTGTAAATATTTTATTTTCATGGATCTCAGAACATGATGCCCAAGGAACTCTCTGAATGTCAAGTGAGCAATATCGGAGTAGGCACAGAAGTGTTCTCTTGAGTTGCCATTCCTGGAGTAGTGGACATATACATCTGCTTTGTAGACAAAATAACCGATTGCCAAAGTTTAAAGGATCCTTACCATGTTGCAGTCTTCCGAGGTATCCACAATCACCCAGGGTGCAAGATTTCGAGGAGTTGCATACATCACCAACAGTCAATTCACAAGCCGATGCAGATAGCGGGCAACCACCAACCTGTCAGCGTCTGCGGGCAGGGGACACACGTGCACGCACCAGGAGGGCCTGCATGTGGCTGGGCTTTATTGGTTTTTATTTACAGTGCCTGATGGTAAAAGACAACAATGCAAAAAAGGTTTATCAATTGATTTTACCAAAATAAATGTTGCAAGTATGTATAATCAGCACTGAGATACAATTGTGCCTGCGCTTACTTTGACCAGAATTTGCATACGCTGTATTTTTTTTTAACGCCAAATTTTGAATTAAGCAAAGCTTTAAGTCTGCAAAATCACCAAAATGTGCAGAATTTGTGAACTCATCAGTGCAGTATTAAAATGAACCATTTTTTAAAACTCCATGTAGCAGCATGTGATAAATATATAGCCATGCTTGTTTTGCACAGGTTGAATGATCTGATGGAAATGATCGGTCGCTAAATGTGATCAGCCTAAATGTCTGCAATAGCCATCTTACATTCTATCGTTCAAATCCTCTCATTTCTTAACATCAGTGCTGATTATACATTTCAAACCAGGTGGAGGATGGGTAAAAACTCAGGAAGTTATTATTTGAAGATAAGAACATTCATGCAGCAACATTAGAGCTTAATGCCTATCAATACGTAAACATTTTGCACTGACCAAGATGAATGTCTGACCAAAAATGAATTATATAGCGTTCAAAAATTGATTTCTTGCTTGAACATAACGCAATTGGGGCAATTTTCAGTTACTGAGCTTGATAATTTGAATGCTTGGTTCAATATGACATGGATTGAGTACATGTAAGTCAGGAAAGAAACGCGCAAAATTTTCAATTTCAAGCGACTTTCCATGGGACAATATTTTGTTTTAACTGTATTCACAGTGGAGTGACATCATTTACCCATCATGCACCTGGCTTGAAAACATTTACCATTCAGGCATTGAATATTATAATAGAAATTTAATTATTGGTGTAACCAGCCCTCACATCACTCAACAATGCTATTTAGTTTCTTAAAGTGTGCTTTAGGTCAAATGGACAATAAGGAGTGTGAATTCATTGAAATCAATTGATTTTTCCTTGTGATCAACAACAAAAAAATTGTTTCAAGCTGTATTTCAAGCTGAAATTTATATACAGATTTTTTTACCCAAGGATTGGGAGTGGCACGTCTGAAACTTACACCAAATGTTTCTGCGCTGCTTTCAATGCTCTCATTGTCTTTCCATGAACAGTTATACAAAGTTCTCAGTTTCAAAAGGTTTCATTTTAGACAAAGTGTGAAATTTCTCAGATACACCTACATGTAGATTGTCAAAAATGATATATTGTAAATCCTTTAGGACACAGTTTTTGTGTGTATTTTTTTCTTTCTTTTGCTCTTCTTTTCATGGACTGTGAGGACTGGTTACACATGAAGAGTTCATTTCCAAAAGGTGACATACCAGGGTATCCATTTGAAAAAAAATTTGAAAATTTGCAGTTTTGAACTTTAAAGGGAATATACATCATTTGCTTTTGCTGTAATTTTCAGAAATGGATGGAATTGGGGGATTGGAAATATAAAGCAAATATAGTTACACTGACTTTTTGGAGGTTTTGGGTTCGAAAATGCTATAAAAACCAAGAAAAACGATCATTTACCTGTAGTCTGGTTCCCTGACTCCATATAAGAAGAAACAGAGCAGTTTACATACATTGGGGAATTGTAAGGTCAGGGAACCAGTCTAGCTGGCTCGTACCCGTTCATAGGTTTGTAATCGATTGCAAACAAGTGCAATAGTCAATTGGGGCCAGTATTTGAAAAAAAGCCAGTTGTTTCCAACGCTGATCGGCCGATCAGCGTTGGAAATTGATACAAAAATACCACTTTTCTTGAAAATGACAGTATACCAGGTGCCATAATTTTACAGGATGCTTTAGACTGACATTTACCAACGTCCTATTAAGGTATTTCGCAAAAACTTGGTAGTTTTATTTTTCGATGTTTGCAAATGTTGTATATTCCCTTTAAAGAATAAAAACAATATAACAGCTGTTCTAAACTTCATATTTTGCCTTATTGTATTCTACTTGTGTTCAAGAATACAGCTATCGAAATTGCTTTTGGGCAGCCAGGAGCGAGCAGATTTCTAAAAGAGAACAAAATAGTGTATATATCGTTTTGGAAATGAACTCTTGAAATACAAAATCCATTCTGAGTAATGAGAAGTTAGAGCCTGTATGCACATTATAAAAAAAAGGCCCTTGAGGAGATAAGTACAAGTTTCATTTGTATTTCTTAAGTTATTGTAATTTGTGGTACGGTGCCCATAACTTCACAGGAATGCAATCAATTTGTCCGAGTGTGCAGATGTTGACTTTAAAGTCATACTTTTTTCAGACCACTTTGATAATAAAAACAATGCCCCAACCTTTCAGAGCTAAGCAATCAGAATGGACTTTGTATAGCAATTAAGATATATGAACCCAAAGTCCCATCCCTCTACCCATGTATCTGTCTGTTTCAGTGGCATAGCTTTGAATGTGTCCATGGAATGTCAAGAAGGCAACTTGAGAGACAATTAAAGATGTTCGATTCTGGAATTTAAGCTCAAATCACTTGTGCAATTTGATTGCAAGCCAGCAGCTTATTACTAGTACCAACCCTTGTGCATACTTTCTTAGAACTTGATATACAAGAACTTTTTTTACCATCTTTGAGATTGGTTAATGAATACATGTATTAAAATCTGCAAGCTGAAATCTTTACTTGCGCTGAGGTGAAGCTATGCCACTGTTTTACATCCCACCCCAATTTTCTAAATTAAATATTCCTTAGTTGATGGCTCTTTCTGTAGCACTCAAAAGTCCTTTAGCCGTAAAAGTTTTTGGCAATGTAGGTCAATGCAGGAGCATTCGGGAACACAATCCAACATTTGGAGAGCATCGGGAGATGTAGGAGTACACTTCTTGCAGGATTAGCTTGTAGCTTCTTGGAGTGCACATGTACATGTATGGTTCAGTCTGTAAAATGTTCAGACAAGATGCATATCCACAGAGTTCAAAATGAATCAGGAACACAACTAAGCAGTTTCAGTCATTCATGACTGGATGAATCACACAGTCTACCATCCACCACTGTACCAACAGTTTGTTTCAATAGTCAGTATCTCTTGTCCTGTGCAATATTCTGAGTGACACATCAGCAAACTTCCACATGATGAAGGCAGCAGAGCCTGATGAGTTGACAGAACTGAGTCGGTGATTGGGGAGTAACTTGTTTCCAGCAGTCTCTTGAACGAGGCAGTCCATGGTTGACCCTACATGCATAAGAAAAAATAAACGATAATTAAATTGTTAAGTCCAGCAGTCGCATACAATACTTTTCAAGGTCACAAACCTCTTTTCAGGAGTTGTGAACTCAAGCACAAATCTTTTATCCCCTTTTCACTACTTCTGCATACAATTTACCAACAATATTCTACACACAACAAAATTAGTGACAGACACGCAAACCCTTTGTGAACACTGAGAACGTATTTGAAATCCAAAGTTCTTGCATTACTACGAACACTCAAGTGTGGGTTGAGTGTAGATAGGTAAAATTCAAGATGACAGTTACTATTTAAAGAGCCGAATGAAAAGAAGGGAACTACATGTAATGATCTTTATCTTCTCCCTAAGCGGGAGAGTGGAAAATCTGTTCACGAACACCGTTTGTGTAACAGTGTAAAACTACAACTTTTGCAAGCATCATCTGTCATGCATTAAAATGCACACGAACATGAAGACTGTTTGGTATTCCACGTAGCCTGGTTTTCATTTTGAAAATTCCCACAAATGACATTCTAGTGCTGCAGCCGAACCGCCGAACCGAACGAAAAATAGCCGAACTTGGCCTTCCGAACCGAACCCGAACCGAACCGAACCCAAATGTCGGTTCGGAAAGTTCGGCAAGTATTTGTTGATAGCGTTAGGAATGCTAAAGCTTGCAATGAAAGGACAAAAATAAAACGGACGGGTGATTGAATTTACCGTGTTGACAAGTCACCGCATTCATCTTCATTATTTGCAGTGTTCTAGCCAGGCAAACAAATAAGATATCGGGTCGATATGCTTTGAACAAATCGTACGCGCCTTGCGATTTTCTCAATGAAAAGCGTGCTCTTTACATTCATCCAGCGTGCGTGGTCAGTATCATGCCCTGCATAATGCTGCGCTGCGTTCCAGCGGTGAAGGGTGTGCTTTCCTCGGCAAAATTCACCAGCATTTTCATTTTTTCACCGTATATGAAATAAAAAATAATTTTTATGGAGTCTGAAACCTTTCCCATGTTTAGAATAAGTTCGCAATTTTCGCAATATATTTTTTTTCCGTAAAGAATGAGTACGAAAAACGATGTAATCGCCCAAAACAGGGTGAAACACCCCTTTTTAAAATGGATCCGTCCACCACTTTTGGACAGATGAGAATTCATCATGGAGTCGCGAACCGAAAAATTATTATTTTTTTACGGTAGCTACTTGTCAGCTTGTTGCTAAAATTAATCATGATTTCATGATTTCATAAGTTTGCCACAGTAAAAGGACCTGTTCTTAGAACAAAACTAACTAGAGGTTCGCGTTTGTTGTTACAAACGCAGAGTGGTCGGGCAGGCAATTTGTTCATGAAACACTGCCGAGTTAAGTTATGAATATGTTTATGTAACAACAAAGGATCACGAAATTAAATCCTTTCCATCACAATAAATTATTTTGCTGAAAAATGCATCTTTAACGGTGTGCTAAATTTCTGTAAACATTTTATGTACACACACAAGTTATTTCTGGCTTGATGACGTCATTCTTAAAAAAAGTCCCGGGAAGTGAATACTGATTTAGTTCGGAGTGGATAAATGTTTTTTTGTGAAGTTAAATAACATATGCAAATATTGAAAATATAATTGTAAGTATTTATAACACCTAACTTGCAGTTCCATGACGTCACTAGCATTTGGAAGCAAAAGGTTAACATTAATTGTTATGGTATCGTTATTTGGGCTAAGAAGATATACGACATGGATCAAATGATAGCATTCGATTCAAAATATGATCATTTTCAAATGCTCATCGACGTAACTTCCGGTTTGATAACGTCATGAATTTGAACCTTGCCAAGTTATCTGTGGTTTATCAAAGAATATCAAGGGGCGATTTGGTAAAATTGGAACCGATGTTCTTCAGATTAAAGAAAACAAACACATTTTATGAGCCGCTAGGGGGCGCCCTTTCGGAAGATGACGTCATCACACTGCTTTTTGTGACTTGCATTTCTCACTAAACACTTGCATAATATATATATGTCTGTAGTAAAATGCTTCCGCTTTGGTGTTATATTCAGTTTTCATTGCACTTCCGGTAACACCGGAAGTAAAGGTCAAGCGGTTTTGTGTCCGGGAACAAGAAATGTTTCTCACGGCATAGTCTACAACCTCACGAAAAAACGAATACGATACTCTATTTAGTTCAAAAGATATAGCACAAACTGTTTTGTCAAAATTTGCCCTTAAATCGCTTGTAATTTAATACCTGATGACGTCATGATGACGTAGCAAAATGTATTACATCTTGGTAACATGGTACAAGTTCACACAAGTTTTTGTGATTGTACCGTAAACCGTTCGGAAGAAATTTTACTTCGTATTCATTTTGAATTCACCAAACTTTGACCTCCCGGTAGACCCGGAAGTAAAGGTCAAGCGAGTTTACGTACATGACCAAAAAATGTTTATCAATTATTGGTCTATCTGATTAGAGAATACTAACATCATTGATTACTTTGTTCAAGAGTTATCGATGAACGTAATTGGTCACTTTTTCAGCTAAAATCGCTTGTAATTTGACACCCGATGACGTCATAATAACGTTAGAGTAATATGCACCACTTGGGATAAGGGTCGATTTATATTGAAAGTTACAAGTTCATATCGTAAACCGTTTAGGAGAAAACCCACGGAAACGTGCTGTACGGGAAAAAAAGAAGAATAAAAGAAAGAACTAGAGGTTTGCGTTTGTTGAGTTACAAACGCAGAGTGGTCGGGCTGGCATATTTTCTTGTGTTTACAATGACTTAATCATAATTGAACTGCACAATACTCCTCCAATTACCCTGCATATCCATTACCCTGTGTTTTTCACAATGAAAGTCACACAACCTGCAGTTTAACTTGTTGCTTTACCTCGACAAGACTTGTAGGTCTATCAGGAAGCGCACATCTGGTGCTGCATGGATGGCTACTCAAGCATTACAACCAGTTAGGACTATTGGTAGACTTGCCGGAGCCTCAACCGTCGTTGGAGTTTATGCAACATATGCTAATCATATCATAACATGGCTTTTATGGTTTTTTTCTTTTGCATGGGCATAATAAAATTCTGCACTGACTTTACGACAGAAACGTTTGTGGCTACACGCTGTGGAAATATTAATTTTCAGCATTCAGATATGTGAGGAAAACTGGTGAGGCGCGATTTCAATCGGTTATGGAAAGAAATCTTGTTTTCCTTTTATTTGACGCTAATTTCTATATTTTGAATTCACCTAACTTTGACCTTCCGGCAGCCCCGGAAGGAAAGGTCAAATAACCTTGACTTTCGGATGATGACGCCATCACATTGTTTTTGTGTCTGGCATTCCTCACTAAACACTTTCATAATATATGTGTCTGTAGTAAAATGCTTCCGCTTTTGAGCTATATTCAGTTTTTTATTGCACTTCCGGTAACACCGGAAGTAAAGGTCAAGCAGTTTTGTGTCTGGGGGACAAGAAATGTTCCTCACGGCATAGTCTACAACCTCACGAAAAAACAAACACGATACTCTATTTAGTTCAAAAGATATACGCAAACTATTTTGTCAAGATTTGCCCTTAAAGGGAATATACAACATTTGCAAACATCGAAAAATAAAACTACCAAGTTTTTGCGAAATACCTTAATAGGATGTTGGTAAATGACAGTCTAAAGCATCCTGTAAAATTATGGCACCTGGTATACTGTCATTTTCAAGAAAAGTGGTATTTTTGTATCAATTTCCAACGCTGATCGGCCGATCAGCGTTGGAAACAACTGGCTTTTTTTCAAATACTGGCCCCAATTGACCATCGCACTTGTTTGCAATCGATTACAAACCTATGAACGGGTACGAGCCAGCTAGACTGGTTCCCTGACCTTACAATTCCCCAATGTATGTAAACTGCTCTAAACTGCTCTGTTTCTTCTTATATGGAGTCAGGGAACCAGACTACAGGAAAATGATCGTTTTTCTTGGTTTTTATAGCATTTTCGAACCCAAAACCTCCAAAAGGTCAGTGTAACTATATTTGCTTTATATTTCCAACCCCCCAATCCCATCCATTTCTGAAAATTACAGCAAAAGCAAATGATGTATATTCCCTTTAAATCGCTTGTAATTTGATACCTGATAACGTCATGATGACGTAACAAAATTTATAACATCTTCGTAACATGGTACAAGTTCACACAAGGTTTTGTGATCATACCGTGAACCGTTCGGAAGAAATGCTGCTTTGTTTTGATGTCAGGCTAACGTCTTCATTTTGAATTCACCTAACTTTGACCTTCCGGTAGACCCGGAAGTAAAGGTCAAGCGAGTTCACGTACGCGACAAAAACTGTTTAGCGATTAATGGTCTATCTGATGACAGAATACAAACATCATTGATTGTTTAGTTCAAGAGTTATAGGTGAAAGTAATTGGTCACTTTTTCAGATAAAATCACTTGTAATTTGACACCTGATGACGTAATCATGACGTCAGAGTAATATGCACCACTTCGGATGAGGGTCGATATATATTGAAAGTTACAAGTTCATACCATATACCGTTTAAGAGAAAACCCGCGGAGAAGTATTGTCCGGAAAAAAAAAGAAAGAAAGAAAGAAAGATTAATCGTAACAGATCCAAAGAGTGGTCGGGTTGTGCCCGACCACTCAACTAGAGGTTCGCGTTTGTTGTTACAAACGCAGAGTGGTCGGGCAGACATTTCTTTTCAATAAACACTACCGTGTTAAGTTGAATATGTTTATGTAAGAACAAAGGATCATGAAATTAAATCCTGTCAGGAACAATCAATTATTTTCTGGTAAAATTCAGTAAACATTCTATGTACACAAGTTATTTCTGGCTTGATGACGTCATTATTCAAAAACGGGAAGTGAATACTGATTTAGCTCGGAGTGGATAAATGTTCATTGTGAAGTTTAAATGACGTATGAAAGTATGGAAAATATACGTGTATTTATTCATAACAACTAACTTCCA